CAGTTTGCTTGTTTGTTTCATATTTTTTTTTTTTACAATTAATTTTTTTTTATTTTTACAATTTTTTTTTTAGGTTGCAATTGACACAGTATCAGTTTGCTTGTTATTTTTTTTTTTTTTTTTTAACTACAATTAATTTTTTTTATTTTAAGCTACAATTAATTCCAGATATTTTTAGGTGCCTGCAATTGACACAGTATCAGTTTGCTTGTTTGCTTCATATTTTTTTTTTTTTTTAACTACAATTAATTTTTTTATTTTAAGCTACAATTAATTCCAGATATTTTTAGGTGCCTGCAATTGACACAGTATCAGTTTGCTTGTTTGCTTCATATTTTTTTTTTTTTTTTTTTTTAACTACAATTAATTCCAGATATTTTTTAGGTTTTGACACAGTATCAATTAATTCCAGATTTTTTTTTTTTTTAATTAATTTTTTTTATTTTGAGCTACAATTAATTCCAGATATTTTCAGTGCCTTTGACACAGTATGTTTTTGTTTCATATTTTTTTTTTTTTAACTACAATTAATTTTTTTTTATTTTAAGCTACAATTAATTCCAGATAATTTTAGGTGCCTGCAATTGACACAGTATCAGTTTGCTTGTTTGCTTCATATTTTTTTTTTTAACTACAATTAATTTTTTTATTTTAAGCTACAATTAATTCCAGATATAATTTTAGGTGCCTGCAATTGACACAGTATCAGTTTGCTTGTTTGTTTCATATTTTTTTTTTTTTTAACTACAATTAATTTAATTTATTTTAGGTGCCTGCAATTGACAATTAATTTTTAATTCCAATTAATTCCAGATATTTTTTAGGTGCCTGCAATTGACACAGTATCAGTTTTTGTTTGCTTCATATTTTTTTTTTTTAACTACAATTAATTTTTTTTTTTTTTACAATTAATTCAGATAATTTTAGGTGCCTGCAATTGAATTATCAGTTTGCTTGTTTTTTTTTTTTTTTTTTTTTTTAACTACAATTAATTTTTTTTTTTATTTTAAGCTACAATTAATTCAGATATTTTTAGGTGCCTGCAATTGACACAGTATCAGTTTGCTTGTTTGCTTCATATTTTTTTTTTTTTTTTACAATTAATTTTTTTTTTTTTAAGCTACAATTAATTCCAGATATTTTTAGGTGCCTGCAATTGACACAGTATCAGTTTTTTTGTTTCATATATTTTTTTTTTTTTTAACTACAATTAATTTTTTTTTTATTTTAAGCTACAATTAATTAATTGCCTGCAGTATCAGTTTGCTTGTTTGCTTCATATTTTTTTTTTAACTACAATTAATTTTTTTATTTTAAGCTACAATTAATTAATATTTTTTAGGTGCCTGCAATTGACACAGTATCAGTTTGCTTGTTTGTTTCATTTTTTTTTTTTTTTAACTACAATTAATTTTTTTTTATTTTAAGCTACAATTAATTCCAGATATTTTTAGGTGCCTGCAATTGACACAGTATCAGTTTGCTTGTTTGCTTCATATTTTTTTTTTTTTTTTTTTTTTTTAACTACAATTAATTTTTTTTTATTTTAAGCTACAATTAATTCCAGATATTTTTAGGTGCCTGCAATTGACACAGTATCAGTTTGCTTGTTTGCTTCATATTTTTTTTTTTAATTTTTTTATTTTTTTAACAATTAATTTTTTTATTTTAAGCTACAATTAATTCCAGATATTTTTAGGTGCCTGCAATTGACACAGTATCAGTTTGCTTGTTTTTTCATTTTTTTTTTTTTTTTTTTTTTAACTACAATTAATTTTTTTTTATTTTAAGCTACAATTAATTCCAGATATTTTTAGGTGCCTGCAATTGACACAGTATCAGTTTGCTTGTTTATTTTTTTTTTTTTTCAATTAATTTTTTTTTTTTTTTTTTTTTTTTTAATTACAATTAATTTTTTTTTTTTTTTTTTTAACTACAATTAATTTTTTTATTTTAAGCTACAATTAATTCCAGATATTTTAGGTGCCTGCAATTGACACAGTATCAGTTTGCTTCAGTTTTTTTTTTAACTACAATTAATTTTTTTTATTTTTTTTTTTTTTTTTGCCTGCAATTGATAATTAGTTTTTTTTTTTTTTTTTTAACTACAATTAATTTTTTATTTTTAAGGTACAATTAATTGATATTTTAGTATCAGTTTGCTTGTTTGCTTCATTTTTTTTTTTTTTTTTTTTTTTACAATTAATTTTTTTTTTTTATTTTAATTAATACAATTTTTAGGTGCCTGCAATTGACACAGTATCAGTTTGCTTGTTTGCTTCATATTTTTTTTTTTTTTTTTTTTTCTACAATTATTTTTTTTTTATTTTTTAGGAGATATTTTAGGTGCCTGCAATTGACACAGTATCAGTTTGCTTGTTTGCTTCATATTTTTTTTTTTTTTTTTTTTTTTAACTACAATTAATTTTTTTTTATTTTAAGCTACAATTAATTCCAGATATTTTTAGGTGCCTGCAATTGACACAGTATCAGTTTGCTT